ACATTCACGAACACCACTTCCAATCATGGCATGTCCAGTCCACCCACCAGCCAATAATTATCACCACTCAGTAGTGTTTCAATAATATTCAAGTGTTTACTGATATGTTCGAAATAGTATAACAGATTTCTATTTAAAACTTTCGATTCGCGAATACTTAAATTAGAATTATAGTGTCTGTTACTGAGTTTATTAATCTTCAGCGATGAATTCGTTTATTGTCATTCCCTCTTTTTTGACTAAACATTGCTTGTTCGTTATGCTTCAAACGCTTTTATTTTTATACATTTCAATGAAATAATTGTAATCGAAATTTCCTATTTTTCCTCCATTGCTTATGTATGCCTAACGTGTTCCCCCCAAATAAGACTTGGTCCGAATTTAAAAAATGATTTTAATATCAACCTTCCCCTTGAAACTAGACTAGCAATTTTCATAATAAAAATATAATAAAGTGTTATTCATAATTAAATGAATATCGGTTTTCATATTTTGCATATTTGAAAATCTATTAATCCTCTACTTTGTAATTTTGTTTTTGATAAATGAGAGGCACCCTTCCAAAATAAGCCCTAGTGCTATTTTTTGAATAAAAAGTGAAACACGGTAAGTATTTGAATCATAGCAGAGATTCCCATTTAATACAATGAAACTCCTCATTTGACAACGACCCTGCCAGAACCACATAAGCATGTATATTTCATTTATGAAAAAAAGTAACTTGTTTTTATCTAGCTTTATGCTGTTTATAAAACCTTTTTGTATTTTATACAAGTACTTGTAATTTCACTTTGGATTAATTTTCATATTTTTGTAAGTATGAGTATTCCGTTAAATTTGGGTTTCGTCAGTACTCTCAACAGTTTTATATTCTACTATTGTTTGATTTCAAAAATCAATGTCTTTGTGTTTTGATATTGCTTGTTTCACTAATAAATCTTTTGTGAATGACAGACTCAAGACGAGTGTGATATAATCAGACACGGGCACGTATATATCGTACACGGATCGAGTATCGGCCGAGCACTAATTTACGTCGTTCAGTGAAGGATTGGTTAATTTAGTGTTTTTGCCGTAGAAAGATCATGGATAAGCCATATAACTATTATTAACCCATATAGTGTAAAGGGTGTCCATAAAGTCTTTAAAAAGCTCAAAATTCAAGTGGGAAATCATCGATATCATATATTGTTTGGCTCTCACAGATGTATTGAATCAAGTAAAAATACTTGAACAATTCCAGATTAAAAAAACAACAAACCTGGTCAAGATATATTGAGAACTGACTTCATAATAAAATTGAAATAATAAAGGGACTTTTTGGACACCCTGTATATTTAAAATCTCACCTGAAACAATATTGTCCATCTTCGATATGGCCTGAGTGGACTTGACGTTATTATTATTCATGTCCATCAGCATCGACGTATTGGACACCAGTGATTTCACAAAATCAGTACGGTGTTGTCGCCTGTTTTATACTAAACCAGATTTTTAAAGTGGTATTTTTCTCGTGTAGCCCTGTTTTTTTTTTTAATTTTCAATATAAAAAAGCACTTCGTAAATTAGCATTTCATGCTGAACTTTAGAAAATATGTCACTCAAACGTAATGAAAAAACACTTCAAACTATTTGATTGTAGTAAAATTTACCACACTGAACCACGTTATTTTACCGATTACAGCAATTTTTTTAAAGCAGTTCGTCAACAACCGTGCTGCCGTCAGTTTTTGTTTTGATTGTGATATATCGTTTTCAGTATACCGGTATGTTTATTCCGACCGTTCAATATCGTATTTTTACATACAGCCCGCGACCGCCTGCGACGCTTCCCGCTTATTCAATAAACAAAATAATATTATTACACTCGAGACTAAAATCGGGCATCAAAAGTAGCGAACTTGACTTACTTGTTTTCACATCGCGCTGCTTTGATTCAACCATGATCCGCCACGACATAATATTTTTATCTGCGGACTATTTCATTTTTCAGTACGCTGACTTCTTGGAGAAGTCGGTCGCGTTTGAGTAAAGCTTTGCTTTCGTCCTTTGGTAAAGTCTGGATATGGCCGGGGCCTTGAAATAGTGCAACAATAACAGCTTTGAATTCCATCATTTAAAGGTTTGGCACTCAGTATGCTACTTGGTGAATTTTCCCCGATCATAAAAAAACAGCACGTTTGCGTCCAAAAATCATTCAGCTCAGTTGTTGCGCTTGGACTGCAGTATCAGTATCACTCAACTGGCCGTAAGAGTAAGATTTCGGAGTACTGCTGCGGCTTTCAATTGTGACGTAGAAATACCATTTATCAAAGTCTGTTTTATCATAAAGCATACTTTCCAAAGCATATCTCAAAAATGTGTTTGCTGGTATACTGCGACAATTTATTTTCATCTGGGGTCTGTCTGTCGACCCATGCTGCATAACATAATACTTCATTTGAGCACACATGTTGCGTTTCGCTCCTTGTCACCGTTGGGTGGTTCACGTAACCGCTGGTCGGCCACGTCTTTCTCTACCAACAAGACCATGCTGCCGAAAACTAAAAAAAAAATGGCTGACTAATCCCATACTCGGCATGGACTGGTAACCATACCGGAGAGGCCATGGTTCGCCATATGATTAAGACGTTTTATCTTTCCTCTTTCCCGGGATAAATATGTAAATCCTAGCCTATTAGCGAAACTGCACCGCAATCATGTACCTCCAGCACGTCTTGGAGTTCTTGGTGTTTAATAACTATATGTACAAAAAGAGATATGCTCCTCCTAACTCAGTGAGCTTGGCTGAAGAAAACAGAAACGAAAATTAATGCTTTTGATCGTTATCTTTATTTTACTCACAAAGTCGAATTAGATAAGTCAGCGAAGAAATAAAAGCAAAGATTAAATATAAGCAGTTAAAACTACTAAAGAAACCAATTCTTAGGTTTTTGTCAACAAAATTCTAAAGCAAAAGTTTATAACTCACGCATGGTGAGGAAGAGTGTATGTCGAATCATAAAGGTCCAAGGATGTTTATATATTAATACTAGTAGTATTCTGGAAATCCGTTTCAAAAATAACATCGATTCGGAATATGTTCTGAAGAAATCCATTGTAACAGAATAGTCTGTGGATGATGAGTCAAATCACAATTTTGTTATAAAATGTAAATAATTTCACAACAACAACAGCAATTTCAATCACTGAATATATTTCATTCCTAGTTTCGAATTTAGCAAATATCAAATTTGTTAGTTATTCAAATCCTATACCCTTTCACGTATCATTGGATACTTGCATGATTCCGAGGCGATAAACACTTAAATATTATTTTGGTATGAGATGGCGTCCGTTGATATATATATATTATTTGTTTTTATGCGCGAAAATAGTATGCTTTGGTGAGCGAGTAGGACAGCAATTTTATTATTTATACAGACATTATATTTTCAGCAAGCCTAATTGGGGGGCGGTATCATAAATAAATAAAACAAAACTCAAGAACTAAAAAGCATATGGAAACGAAGCTACTGTCATATGCTATCCGTTGGGCACAGACTGTCGGCATCGACCAGAAGGAAATACAATGGAGCGATTTTTTTAATGATTAGCCGAACACAATATTAAAAACATGTTAGGCAATAGGAAAAAATGAAACATTCTTAAGGGAATAAATTTCTGGAAAGCATTCTCAGCATTAATTACCGCACATTTCAATCGCGTCACGTTATTGCAGTTTATGGAATTTTGCCCAAAAGCAATAAAGAAATACGATCAATGATACATGATTAACAACATCAAAAATATAAAAAAAATTATTGACAAGCAACGAACGTTAGCTGTAGTGACGAAAGTGAGAGCTCACAACAGTCTTTGCGGATCATTATGACATGAACACCAGGTTTCTCATTTCCAGTAGTAAAATTTAATTGAATAAACAAAAAATTGAAACGGCGGTGTTCAATATAAATTTGTAATCGAATTCATAGCCCTGATTTCAATTACTGTGCAAAGGTTCATAAACATCCCAAAATAAAATCGAAAAAAACAAACACGTAATATAACCATATTTACGGAGCAGACGCACTGCCACTAAATTAACTAGATTGAGTTGTTATCCAGACATAACTCGCATCAGGCTATTGGACGGTTTTCAAAGCATTTTCGTATAGTTTTTACGTGTGGGCGAGAAAGCGTGGAGTATTACCTGATCAATACATTAGGCGCACCTGCATATAAATCGCACGATGGTTTTGTGAGAAAAAAGGAGGAATTTAAAGTATGCGTATGTTCTGTAAAATACAGTACTATATTCCAGCCTTGAGCAGATTGAGTTAAAGCGTAATGTTATGCATCAGGTTTCCATCCATTCAGAGCGTAAACTTGATTAGCCCACGGCCCGCCTTTGCCATCGCTCTTGCATTTTTTCGAACGACCGTATGTGGAATACGTCTCATGAGCAGTCGGCCCAGTCGCGCACCTGAAATGAAAATAATCGCTTGTGTAATCCATATATTGGCTTAGAGCAAGGTTTTTAACGTTAGGTTATTAATAGTGATGAAGGGGTGACAGAATAAAATATAAAAAGATAATCTACCAACCCAACCCGGGGTGTAATTAATTAGGGGGAATGCTGAACCGAAAAGATTTATCGCATCTGGAAACTTTAGGAGGGCTCTACAGTCATTACTCCACATCTGTAATAGATGACTGTATCCTTAGGCAAATGTTCTTGTTTGAGAAACTACTCATCTCTGTGCTAAAAAACATTTAAAACGCAAAAAACTTTGTACCCTTCCTCAGAGGAAATTTTGCACACCCAAACCTCTCATCACGGTACACCCGTAGTGTGTGTACCAGATTGTGGCTGGGTCATAATTTTATTCCGGTTTTTCTTTTAGTTCTATTACGAGTCCGGGCACTGTCTGTGATAGCCAAGTGAACCCTGTCCATAGGTTTCAATCCCTTTACACAACTTAATGTAAAGTAGTCGAACAAAATTATATACCACATCACTATGCTAAACGAAAATCATTCATTTACCGTCCTCCATCTTGGACAGCAAATACTCTGTAGCCTTCCGAAGCGGCGACTTTTGCACATTTTTCAATGGCATTAACTCTTTGATGATAATTGTCCATCAAAGCGGAGTATTTATTATCAACTCCAGGAATAGCTCGTGACCATTTATCTCGGAAACAACCCAGGGTAGCATAAGACACTAAAACAAAGGAATGTCATAAATTGGTTTTCAAATTGTGATATTATTTAAAAAAAATATTGTGATTAAGTCTAATTAGAACACTTTTTTGCATAATGACTTTTAGTTATTGGAAACGAAGTAAACCTATGGATCGTTTTTGTGAATTGTTGTTCGATTGTTCTTCTTCTTGTTACGCTATGTAATAAATCCCTTTTCTCATTCACCAAAGGACCGATTGCTCTGAAATTTTTGGTGGTCAAGAATTCTATTTTTCATTAGAATGCTGTTAATTTTATTTATTCCTAAGTTTTCTATGAATCCTCTGAGACCCAAAATTTCACTCCATTTTTATTTTTTATGGAAACTCGATTTTTAATAATAAGTGTGACGACGTTTTCCGATGTTATCCGGAAGTCGGAGAATAATTGATACCGGTATATATGTTACGAAAAGTTATTTGTCTTAGACTTAGTGTCCATATATTTGAGCATCGCTCTTTTGTTATTTTATAATGATACGAATGAAAAATATCTGTCCAAACTTATAGGAGGTTCTAGACATTGGCGATTGGGAAAAGATCCATATATGTAACAGCCAATCAACCACAATTGTACTCGTTACTCCTAAATGTCGGCACGGGCATGAGACATTGTTTATTTGCATTATGATTGTTAGTTTTAGGTTTATTACGAAAAAAATTGTTTTAAACTTACTAGTAGGCTTAGAATCCGACAGAACCGGAATAATGTTGGTGTTGATAATCATATTATCCATGTTAGGATTAGCCGCTAGTTGGCGCTGAAGTTCTTCGGTAATAAACTTGATGATGTCAGGGTTGTTTTGTATGTCTTGAAAAATAGAAAAAATATCACATATTTATTATTCAATTTATCAATGCAGCATTTAACAAAACCCTTGCCAAAATAGTAAAATATTGTCAAAATAAAATGTCTGCAAAAGCGTGCAAAAACAATGAAAAACCACCAAAAACGTGCAAAAACGAGTAAATAGGCATACAAATTGTTATTGCGATGTGTCCTATAAATAATGCTACCCCATTGCATTGAGTGGAGAAAATATATTGCAAACTACAAGTGAGACAATAATTTTTTCAATAGGTATAGTAAAAGTGATGACGTAATTTGCTATTTTGTATATATGATTACCATGCTTGTTGAAACTTCACATACAAAGTATTACAAAACACGAATTTGAATACAGATACTGCTAAATCAAAAAGTAGAATGTTATACCTGTAGTAAATAGGGTATATCCTTGCGAGAAAAGTAGATAGTTAACACGTACGACACAACTTTACTCGTGATTAATATTCTAAAATGCTAAGACTAGATATGAAAACGTCTCACAGTGCTTTTCTCAGAGTAGAGATGTGAGATAAATATTAAAAAACATCATGATTGCGATATAGTTTAAAAATCTTCATTCATTAAAAAATGTCGCTACTTACCAAAAACCTCTTCCTGTAAAAGGAAAATAAAATTAATTTCTTTAATTTTATCATGTTTTGATTAAAGTAAATATTTACATTAACACGAAACAGTGGTTTTAAGAGCTTCAATTCGTATAATTCTAACATCCCATTGGAATACATAGTCATTACGTTTATTGCCTAATTATTAACTTACTCTTGTTTCACCCAAATTCGTTGTTTCATAATGGGGTACTTCCGAAGTATGTGAGCCAAGATGGACACCGAAGAGATTCGGAATTTTACTCTGAACCGATTCGACTAATTTACTATTCGAATAATCGATTCGAGGTGCTCAGCCTTTAGTAAGAAATTGCAATATTTTTTGGCCATATGAGGCTTTTGTCAAATCGCACTGCAGTAAGAACATACAGTATTAGAAATAAGCCAGACCATGTGTTGAAAATTTATTATCATCAATTCCGCAGTTCCCGAACTTTTTATTTGTGCGGCGCCAAATTATCAGGAAAAAAACTCACGGCCACTTACACCAAAAAAAAATTGAAAACATGTAGACGTGAAAAATGAAAGCAATGTCAATTTTTCTTCCTCATCTCTGATTGATTTGGCTTTGAAATACTAAACATTTAACTCATACTCGCTAAACTTGTTACTTTCCGACTGCTATGAGTTTTTTTGTTTCAAATTAAAAGTATTTGGAATATAACTTACCGCAGTAAGAGAAAATTTCTTGCACGTCCCACCGTTGCAGTCCGATTCATTTCCTTTGACCGCCGTGAGAATTATCCCTGAAAAATTAATTATCATTATCAAGGATCAGGTTCTCATAAAATATAAAGAACATTTTCAATTCGTGACTGCTTGCACAGAGCCATGTTCATTGTAAACCAACCAACTGCTCGGCTGTGGGTTGTTGCGCGATGGAGCCTTTCGCTCTGCCCGAGATAAATATGAAAAGTTAAAGCATAAAAATAAGTCTAAATTACAGTGATGTGGGATTCACGTGACATCGCACACATAATTATTTTCTTATGAAACAGAACATGGCCATTTCGTGGATATTCGAAATTGGTTGCGTAGTAATTCGATACATTTTAATCTGGAACATATTGGACGGAAGTATTACGCTAGGTGTAACTACGTAACTCTACGCAACTGTTTTGATTTTATGAATGAACTCCCATGACCGTTTGTTCTGCATCAGGAAAGCAGCAAAACAACAAATAAAATGGCCGACACGTAGGCGCAGTGATGAACAATATTGTCACATCATTGTCATGAGGTATTGTAAACTCCGCGCATGGAAAATCATTTCGGGCAATTATGTAAATAACGATCCTCTATTTAAAAAGCCACCCATCATTTTGCTGTTGGATTCTACTTCAGAACAAATAAGTACATGGAGGTTTCTATTAATGCAATATTTTAAATTAGAGAAAACATGAATATTAATTACTTAATATATTTGTAGAGTTTCTAAATAAGGGATGCAGTCATGTTCTCTGAAAAGGAATGATCACGTCAAAGAAACTCCTCTTGCAGCGGCCTATAGAACACTTGCCGACACCCGCTGAAAAGCCTGATTTTTTTATTTAGTGATTCATTGCCGCAAAAAATATTCAATCAATGGTTATAACGACATTTCATAGTAATTACATTCAATGTTATTACACAGCTGTGTCGAAATCGTCAGATGACAGCATATTATAATTTGTTTTTAAATTAAAAAGTTGAATCTCAAAGATAATAAATTAATTCAAGTTACCTTGCATTAAAACATTGACCACCAGTGCACCAATACCCCACAGTCTCGTCATAATGTACGTTAGTTAAATACAATTATTAAACTGAATGGTAAGTTGCAATGTGAGTTTTGAAAATGTGATCAAATACTAAGGTATTTAAACTTCCACTGGTACTGCTATCTCATCGGTTCCAAACTGGGTGCCATGCCCGTTTGGATATAGACTACAATGCCAGGCGCAAAACTGATATATATTAACTTTTCCATTTCACCTAGAAAAAATTCCTGTTCTTCCTAGTTTTATTGCTTGATAAGGTTATTTCACAGGGTGTTTTCGCTCAGTTGACCATAAGTGTTTGAATATAATAGGATTTGGAATATATTAATTAAAATAACACTATAAATACTATTGGTTGGAATGATAAACAGGGGGCCATGAGTGCTAAAAGCCTCTGGAAAGGGAACGAGGCATAAACAGTTGGGAACCATTGTGCTAATTCAACAGCTCGACTCTCACTTTTTTGTTATAAAAGTACCAACTAAGACCTAAATAAATTCAGTCATTAGCTCAACTCCTCAAATTAAACTATTTATATTTAACTACAAATGCTACCTAAATTGTCTCCATATCGGCCCCATTGTAAATCAAGCTTCGACGAAACGCTATGAATTTTAATTATCGCAAATGCACCCCATAGAGTTTTATTGTTATTATTATTATTAAATATATAGCATAGACACTTCGCAATGAATCCATTTTGCGCAGATATTGATCACACTTTATATAAATATAAGATAGTACATTTAGTACCTGGCATGAAGCTCAAATGCGTTGTTGCACTAACTTTTAATTTTTCCAACTCATAACCAATCTCGACATGCAAATGCATTTAAATTTATTGCTTGCTTAACCCTGCTAAAACGCTTAAAAACAGTGAAAAACCGTCAAAAATCACCAATAACCCTGCTAAAACGCTTAAAATGCAATTTCCGCAAACTCGCAGCGGTAATAATGAGGTTGAACTCAAATGATTTTGAATAAATCTGCATAAGCTCGTGATTAGTTTTTAATCGCAGAGCATGTGCTATATCTGGTGCCTGCTTTTCAGTTACGTTTCTCCAAAAAAAATATTCGATTCGATTCTGAAATCATCAGGCATTCGAAAATGCCCAGCCCTATAGTCATATCCAATAGGAATTGAAAATATAGTGGTATACCTCACGCTCTAATATCACGAAATTACCTCCTGAGAGGCTCCTCATGGCACTTCAATGCTTCAAAAACCAAAGCAAGTCTCAAAATGAGGTACTCGTACATTTATAAATTCATAAAGCAATGACAATGCAAAATATTTTTGTCCTGGTTTTCTGTTAGCTTGTTAGCCGCTGCAATGGCACTCATCAGCTTATTACCTCGTTAAATCGAAATGTAAATTACTTGATTATGACGTGTTGAAATTATGCCTGTCTGATTCGGGAGGTATCATTGCTCATGATTGTCACGTGCCTATCTTTCAAATCAAATCTGCTGTCTGTATATTTAGCGAGTCATGGTACATATATCAACGAGGCCATTCGAATGGCGGGCGGGGCCACACAGCCGTCCTTATTACTGACTTGTTCATTATATTGCCGCCCAATAGCTCTTCGTGGAAGAGGTCATTCAAATGCCGATTGAAGTCATATATCCACCCCTGTTCCTAAACTTCGTGTACTCTGTATGTGACACCCCAACAGACCCCTACAAAGGAAGCCATTCAAAAGACGATTATGGCAAAGCATTCGAAGTGATGTTATTTGAACAATAACCATTGGTCTCAAAGTTATTCTGATGGAGAGTCAGAATAGTATCAGCGCAACTTCATACACACCGTCTGTATTTCGAGTTTGGTTACGCTAGAGTTGGGGAAAAAATCCAAACTCAATGCACTTAGTTGGGTGATTGAAAGTTGTTGCATCACACTTTTTTCACTGTTTTTGCAAGGTTTTTGGTGGTATTTCATTGCTTTTTAAACTCAATGCACTTAGTTGAGTGGTTGAAAGTCCTTGTATCACAGTTTATTTTACAAACTAAAAACTGCTTTTTCACCAAGAAAGTCTCAAACTTTGGCCAGACGAAATGATACAGATAAAAAAAAATTGAGAGTACGATACAAGACCCTGAGGTACTCAATATTCCATCTTCCCAGTCCGGAAAATCGTGTTATAAAAGGATTTTGCTCTTATATTGATAGAGTGCCTGTAAAATTATGGAACGCTTGCCTAATATAACGCCGTGGCAATCACCGTTTGGTAACTAAGGAAGTCTCTAACTTCGGCCAGACGAAATGATACATGAAAGACCACGATACAAGACGCTCAATACTCCTATCTCCCGGTTAAAAGAATCGTATTATTGAAGAATTTTGCTCTTATATGCTGGGCAGAGTGCAATATATAAGCCTATGACAATCACTGTTAAGAACTGACCTCCCACTTGATTACTTCATATGAATGCTCGTCAATTCTATCTCAAAGATACATCATATTTCAAGCACATTTAAAATGAAATAACAAAAAAAATACGACAGTTCTAAATACACTGTATATAAGTAATATATCAGGCATATGGGTAAAATAGAAAAAAACTTATGTGGTGTTTACGTGGACAAATTTAGGTTATAATATTGGGAGCTGAAGTCGGAATTTAATTTTGTAATTAACAGAGTTTTATATGTTACGGTTTCGTGTGTCTTATCCGGGTTGTGCCGCTTTTTCCAGTTATTTTAGACCTCATTTTTAGGAGTCTTTTGAATGAACTCGATGACAAGTTTTCAATATTTTGGCTGCAATTTTCCTCCATACATATTGTTTTAAATATTTCAATAGACAGTTTTTGCTACTTTTATCATAGAATGAACAAATCCGACTTCCAGTCAATATTGCGCATGAATTTGGAAAAACAAAATAAAACTAAATTTTTTAAATATTATTCGAATAGTTTCTTAGATTCGGGACTCATAAAAGACACTTTCCATAAAGAATTGGCTAGAAAATATACATATGGTGTGAAGCCAGACTTGAGATATTGAATACTGTTTGGAAATTTGTTAAAGTTACCTATAATTTTAAAGTTAAAACTAGTTTGAAACTAAACTGGGTGCGCTGGTTTTATATCAACCGCTAAACTTTTTGATATAAAAACGAATCGACTATTCATATACAGTCCGGTACGGGAGTCAACCCATACGAGAATATCTTTTTGATCAGCTTATTTTATATAATATAAAACCGGACTAATATAAATTTATGTAGTGGGTATGTTAGTCTATATAGGTACGGTTCCATTACATTTGAACCCGTGTACATTTGAACACACGTACATTTAAACCACGTACAACTGAACCCACGACAATTGCACCTGCATACTATTGCACCTATGGAAATTTTTTTTGTTTTACGGATATTTGAACCCATACTAACTCTAACCCATGGGTTTTAGCACCCGCATATAGATTGAACCCGTGGATATACACATGGGTTCAAATGTACATGGTTCAAATGTACGTGGGTTCAAATGTACGGTCACCTACACCTACAGGTACAAATATACGACACTCTTTGTAGTTTGCATTCTGGGCAAAACAAGTTAGCTGAAATAGTATTGCTAAGAAGTAACGAGAGTCCAATCTAAATGATATGATGAAACATAAGATAAATTGGAGAAATTTGCTGACGAATTTATTCACTTATTATAAACGTAATATTTCAAAGCTAAAAGCGATGCGAGGTTAAATTTATTTTAATTTTTTTGTCACGCTCGCTGTACCGAACGAGTACTCTGTAAAACTGCGATAATGAAACATTGTAAGAGCTATATATAAATCACCATTGTCAAAATGGCGTATTTTTGACACGCAACAATTACATTGTGTTGTTAAAAATTTCTTGCAAAGACGAGTAAAACAAATATAAAAAACAGATTCGAAGATTTAACAACAGTTTGTTAAACTTTTCCTTCCATTTTTATGGCTAAGGATTGTTTGTACGTGTTGAATGACGTCTGGTCCGGGGAGGGCATGACCTTTGACACGACGGGTTCATCGCGCATGCGTCGTACCCAACTTTGCAATTTAAGACATTCGTGATGGTCGATTTCTGGCATCCATGATCCGATCTGTAGAATAGATTTAATTTATATTCAGATAAGATTCAAGGTAAGCGAACTTAATTTTAACAAGATCCGGTCTAGAGGTTATTCGGCCTTTCGCGTCCGTTTGGTGTTGAAAATTTAATTTAAAATGAGGAAATGAATATTTAATTACACTAATAATATATATTCATACAGAAGGACTAGAGATCGATGCTGAAATATATGAACACGGAGTTCAAGAAAAAGAACTTTTCGTATCGTACATACCGGTATCAATTAATCTCCGCGTTCGAAATATCAGATCTCGTGGGATTCATAGAAAATTTAGTAATAAATAAAAGTAGGAACTTTCTAGCAAAAAATACAATCACATCCCCAAAGTTCAAAATGAGGAAATTAGTAATTATCTCGTTAGGGTGAGAAATGCTGATTCCGCTGAAAATTCAATGTTTCAAATCGTTCAAAACACAATCTGAATAATTAGTCATTTTTATTTTAAAACGTGACGGGGCTGTTTTTTTTCAAATCTCACATTTTTGTATTAGTGCAGGGGCTTTGTACAAAACATACTAAGTCTCGTTCACTTTGGAGTACGTTCGCATGAACTTGCATCGAGGCAATTTGGTGCTCCAGGAGTATGCGCACCAAGATGTCACACAACCTGAATCCTAACCGATACACACATACTATGTTCAGGTTGTGCGCCATCTTGGTGCGCAAACTTCTGGAGGTCCGGCAATTCTTTATAATAAAGCCAATGCAACGGCACATTTCAACATAAATCCAGATTTTCATTGCAGTGGTCGTAGCCTATAACTTTGCTAGGATATGAGTTTTGTTTTCTTTTGAGTGATACTGATATAAGTAACTATGCAATTCAATAGTCCTGCTGCACACTAACACAAATGTATTTCTGTAATGTTTCGTGCAGTTTAAAACCTGTTGATTTTGCTCAGACGGAACGTTACAGAAATACATTTGTGTTAGTGTGCAGCAGGACTCTTGAATCTCTTAGGATAGTTACTATTACTCTTGCTACAGCAGCCTTGCATTATATGCATACGGATATACTAGCACGAAGGCATTGAGGAAGCATTGGGAGTTACCTAGTCCCGTGCAACCTCTACTGATAGTGATATAAGTTAGATACGATAACTGAATCGCGTTTCAGCTAAAAACCAAACAATCGCGAAAATGAATTATTGAAGTACACACACCTTTTCAATCCATGGAAAGAGACCATAATCGAGAATATCAGGGGATTTTCCCCCAAAGTAAGGGCCACTGGTCAATCTGTTCTCAAGGTATGATAAAGCTTCGAAGAACAAGTCAAGGCCTTCTCTGGGGTTTCCAGTAAGCACAGTGCGGTAGAAGAGTGGCTGGATCTAAATAAAAAATTGTTATATATCAGTTTTATTCAATTGTCGACTAACTAAAAAGTATTGAATGTAATGCTTGCAACAAACGATGTAATAGAGTATAGTTTTGGTCGGTCAATTGAAAAGATCCCTGCCATTCCAAATAACGATAGCTACTTACATAGGGTTAGATACCACTGGCTGCTTGATTGAATAAGCTTCGTTTAAGAAAATAGAGCGTGCACTGGAACGGTCGTACTATTTTATAAATTGATCGTAAATATGAAGACCAATTAAAATAGACTCGAGGAAGGCACTATAGTCCCGTGTTTCTTCCAGATGTTCGACGACCGCAGAAAGTAGGCGTCAAGTACCGTAGATGACGACTAGCGTTATATTTGGCATTTTAAAACTTATGTTTTCGGTTTAAATAAAGCCTGTCATTTTAATATAGCCTAAATTGTGACATTTTCTAAAATGGGAGAACCCGTTGTTAGTGAGTTCGATACAAAGGATAGTCCGTCCCTAGAATTTTGAATCATCACTTAATTCGAAAAGACATATAGTGGACAAACAAGTCAAACGATTTATTTACAATTTTGCTTCTGGCAACAAATTCATCCATCTGTAACCAAGCATAACCGTAAAAACGGGCTTGTCTAGAACTACAAGTTCGATGATTTCTGATTGGCTGACATACACACACGCCCTTGGCGAATAACCAATTAGAGAAAGAGTAAGTACCGCCTAGTCTGTGGCATAATTTATGTGATTTAAAGGCTGTTTTTGTGCCTCGTGATGAAATGTAAATCAAATGAGCCAATAATTTTATAGTCGGTTCACGAGAATTAACGCTAAATATAGGAGTATCTACATGCATTTGAGCCCATGCTACTGCTTTTTTTAAAGTAAATATAAGCACGACACTTTGTTTTCAGCTCTACCAGAAGTCATACAAGAAATCACCTCCATATTGGTACAAACACTTCTGAAGCGCCCTAAATATTTGTTTATGAGATAAATAACTTACATTTTTCATAAAATATTCCAGAAATTTTTTTTGTTCTTCGTTTAAATCTGACTTGACAACATCCAATGCGGCAAGATAACTCACAGCCCGGCCATTACCGTTCTGGATTCCAGCTGCATTTTCCGAGTCTCCTTTAATATCAACTTTTTCATGTCTGAAAATGAATAATTTTCTTTACTATTTTGACCTTTCACCTCTATGTGTATTATTAGAAAGTGTAAAAGCGCTAAATCATTGTGATTAAGGTCTATTACGTCACAAAGTGCAGAATCAATATTTGCTTTGCAATTATTTAACGGTTGAAAACGTTCAAGTACTATTCAAAAAGTGTGGTTAAATTTAATAAAAACACAATGTATTACAATTTCTTTCAGATTTAATCGTCGTGTTAAATTAGGGCCACATGGTAATGTGGTTATAACTCCTTTTGTCTCTGCCTTAGTGTCAGTGGATTCATATACACCGACTGCAATGATACCATAGTGCTAGGCCAATCTATAAGTCTTTGTGGGGTAAATTAGGGTAACATGTATTTGATACCATTCATTTTATCTCTGTCTTCATGTCTGTGGAACCATATGTGCCGCCTGCAAAGATACTAAAGGGCTATGCCGCCGGTTCTTAACCACATAAACTATCTCAGGTGGACCACAATTCTATTAAAAATTGCTAGACCTTTTGACAAATTTGATTGCATTAAAAATGAATGATAATGCTGTTTTGCTACGAGTTTACGAGCTCTTTTATTTTCTTGCCATACCAACGACTTGACCTTTGGTCAAACAAAATATAAAAGAACAGAACAATTCATTTCAAACCCTGTAATTATAGTGTCCAGTTTTGATAAACAATATTATTACAGTGAAATGCTGAAACTTGCCCATGGGGAATAACAAACAATTTCTTCGAAAGTTTCAATAAAAGACCGATAAATTATCTTCCGGGCAGAATTACCGATGCCAATTAACGAAATTGTCGGCCACGTTTTTTCACGCTACCATCATTATCCAAATATCCAATCTCGTTGGTTATAAATACCTCTCGGAATATGTATGCACTTGACTGTGTAACGATTATTTCCCCATACTGCGTATGAATGACGAGCTCGCGGAATAAATCATGTAAGTGCTGTGTCGAAATAGTTTTAATTGTGTTATAATAGACCGAAGGTTTATGATTCCACGTCACAAGTTTTCTGAAGGCCGTATTAAATCGGTCAATGGGTAATTCAACAATAAAAACACACAGAAGACCTTAGGTTTTCACACATTTGCTCGGGGCAAGGGTCACTGATATATATAAGAATGTACAAAAGCTTCAGAGTGAAATGATATCTAAGAATTATATCGGTTCAGTAATTAGGAAAACTAAACAATGACGTATGACGAAATGGCGTAACAAAGAGTTCAAAGTACGAAACATATCATTTACCAAAGTGCATCAATATTTTGTGCTTTTAAGATTACAAAACCTAGTTGCTTTACCGCCCCAAGCAAAATTGTCCTGTTTGAAATGTACTTTGTTCATTTTCATGTTGCGTTTTATATTACCGCTCCGAAATTTGCGCAAAAAAGCAAAGCATTTACTATATGCGGATGTGCTTCTATAATTACGAAACCGATTTGCGCTTTCACCACAGGCAAATTTGTCCAGTTTGGAATGTTCTTTATTCATTTTCAAGATGCGTTTTATATGGCCTCTCCGAAGGCTTAAAACAAGCAGGGCATTGATATTTACAAATACATTTTGTGCTTCCGAGATTACAAATTCTATTGCGTGATCGCCCCAAGCAAAATTGTCCAGTTTGAAACATTCTGTTTATTTCCATGAGGCGTTTTACATTGTCACTTCGAGGAAGGCTCTAAACAAGCAGGTTTTTGCGGTTCTGAGATTACAAAACCTCATTTCGTTATCGCCCCAAGCAAAATTGTCCAGTTTGAAACGTACTTCATTTTTATGCAACGTTTTACACATTCGCTCTGCTCAAAACAAGCAAGGCATATGTACGGATATATTTTGTGATTCCAAGATTACAAAACCTTATTTCGTTGTCGCCCCAGGCAAAATTGTCCACGTTAGAACGTTATTTGTTAATTCGCAAGCCACGTTTAACATCGTCGCTCCGAAGTGATTCAAAACAAGGCATCGATATGTACGGATATATTTTGTGCTACTGGGATCGAAAATGCTGATTGCGTTACCACCTAAGGCAAAATTGTCCCAGTTTGAAATGTTTCTTGTCCACTATCTTTCCATGTTCTACATATTCGCTCCGGAAAAGGCCATAAACAAACAAGCGATTCATTTATATTCATGTACGAAGTTACTGTGTGTTATAAAGAAACTGTGAATGCTGCGTGAATGAATCGTGTATATTCAAAGTATTCCAATTAAAATATTTATTTAAAATTTAGAAGTTTCTATACTATTTGAAATTGTTTCTTTGGAAGTATTTTGACAAAATTGTCACTTATACATTTACAGCAATTACCTTCAAAGTACACCCTCGCCTTCGACGTTTTTAGTTAATGACACTCACCTAAATACAGATGTACAAAAAGGCATTGCATAACATTTAAGCTGTCCAATGCCTCGTTTGACAATGGAATGATAGCTATTTTATTGGTCATTGTATTATGATATATAGCTGCACCAACACCACAGTATAGAAATAGACGTATCTTTACGTGTTTCGTAATTGTTTTAACCATTTGTGAGTAAAGTAACGCAACAACTGTAATGAAATAATATTAATAACAATTTAACAGGTTGTTTAGAGTGTTTAGTAGGTGAATAACGCCACGTAACAAACTCGTAACGTCATATCAAATAACATACTGCAATAACGAGCGGCTTCGAGTATCATTTGGACAAAACATTTCCATGTGGACGCCGTATTGAGAAACTTATCGAACGAGCAAAAATATCGGGTGACGACATCGACGAGGAAAACAAATAATGATGTCTCGCACGTACGCTTCGATGCCGACGTGACGAAATGACCTATGCGGGCGCGCAAAACAAAACAAAGAATCAACGATGGATAACGAAAACAATATAGCGAATTGGGTTGGTCGCAGTATCGTGTTGCCCAACCCTTGTCTTTTTCTATGTTCTTGAGTTGATTGCGTAGAAATATTGCAAATGTAGGCCTTACATTCACACATCGCAAATTTTATTTCGTAACGTTTAATTTATTTCAAGTTATGATCCAAAATATGAGCAGTTTTCAAAAATTTACTTTATATTTGTAAAGCGCTGGTATTAGGGAAAAACTTCCAAAAATGTGGTAAAAGACATTAAAACCACGAAAAGCAGCCGTTTTGATTATTTTTAGCGCACCCATGCTGTCAATGCCCAAGGAACAAGACTACTCAAATTCTGGTTGGAGTAGTGATCATTGGTTTGAGACCAACATTTTTAAATTGCGACATATGTCCAATGCATAAAATACCATACCATGGATCAGGCGACCTATGATTTTAACCAATAATACCAATTATATAGAAGTACTTACGGTATCTGCTTTGCCGCCAGCAGGAGCATAATACTTTGTGATGCGGGGTCACATCTGTCGTTGTAGAAAGTCAATGTTGCCATGTTATAGTGTTGGAGAAAAACCTCAAATAGATAGTTATGTAGTAATAAATCTTTAATGATAAAAGAAAAATTCGGTTGTGATAATTTTCACGATATTTACTTGGAACAATGCAGGTGTATCCACTGAGTTGTGAGTAGCTACTATTTTAAACCGGAAAGATCTTTCTGGTTCGACGTTTTCAATCCAATTTATTTACATCTTCACAGACATGGTAAGCATGTGATTTGAAATCGGGATCTTAAAACGCTTTAACTCAGGGTTGTGCAACATTTTTTGTCGGCAAGAGAAGAGAAGCGACTAACGCTCAGCCTTACAGTAACGAATTCACCCGGCAAATCGGCAACGACAAGAGCAAAAAAATGTGTATTTTATCTATGCAAGTGCTTTTTCAAATACAAACTGTCGGATTAAAATGCGATACTTGATGTGGGAAAGTCTGAGTGTTGACAAGAGCCACACGAAATGGCTTGGCAGACCGGGTTGTGGCCGCGGGCCGCCTGTTATGTACAACCTGCTCTAACTAATACACCACTGCGCTCGCTACGATAAAAGTATAAGTTTCTATCAATTCGAGATAGAAATTTGAAAGCGGCCAAGGTTCGCGTACCCAATCGTTCATTTTTATTTCTTTCATTTCACAAATTAATGAAAATTTTTTGAATCGTTTTTGGTTTGATCTCAATAAGCCAGATCTACAACAACCTTCGATTATAACCTATATACATATGATACTGTATATCCTTTTCCACTTTTTTTTTCTCGCGTTAAAAATAGGATGTCTCACAGACTGAATGAAATTTTGTGATCAATAAAAGTAATTTGATTGCAAAGCCAATGGCAAATGCTTATCCTGCTAATCTATCATGTCTGCTCCTAATTTTATATTCAGTCATAATTACGTGACATGTCATTTAATTTTTAAAAGTTTATCATCAGCCGTACCATCCAAGTCTATGCCGCAATTGCACATATTGATACTGAATACCCAAGGCAAACCGTTTTGAATAAAATTAACTCATATGGATGTTCATGAAAGTTCGTTTCAAACCTTTAATCCGGACGAAGCCCTAGAACTGACATGTGAACACTGCGGACCGCGGGACTAATCTGACCCGTTGAGTAATTTAATCTGGCCCGCCTGATGCTGCCACAATCAAACTAAAACCAAATTTTGATGTTTTAGCTTAAAAAAGTAGCTCAAGGAATTCGTTGAGATTACGAATAAATATAGTTTTGGCACGAGGCTCATTGTTTTCCACTTATGCTTTTTTAACACTGTATATAAAACTCTGTTAATAAAATATTATTTTCTATGTCGTACTTACGTGGCCCTAGGTGGCCCCTAGTCCTAGAACAACCGATACCACCAACCGATAAGGAAAATCGGAATCTCAGCATTGCCTATTTAATTATTTATACCATGGGTGCGTCGGAGAGAGATCTAGGAACATTTACGCGAAAATAGTCAAGTTACCGTCCTAACTAATGAGGCCGAATTTACGCCTGATTTTAGTGACCACAAAATAATTCAAGATTATTTTCGAATTTTTTTTATTTTGAAAGGTGTATGCAACGCACTCGCCTGACTTCAATTCTATTTTAAAATTCGAAAAATTATCATTTTTAATCCTAGACCTTCAGAACTTGGTTAAATTCAAATGTTTACTCCAAAACATGGTTCCGAAGAAAACAACAATCTGATGCAATAGTGAATGAGAGTCGAATAAGTCGACTCAGGTAGTTCATTGCCGCACTACCGACGCGACGTCTTATTACAACCTACGGTGCGTGCAAAACATGAAACATTGTTTACAGAGCAAAACTGGTTTGTAAGTATCCCAAATCTCTGGTCTCAGTTGATTCTATTTGGAAATCTTCTCCTGGGTTTGACAAACAAAGCGCATTCGCTTATCGCGATTAACAAAAAGTATGGGCTTTCGAATCTCTGAACACTTTCGCATTTGCTAATTCTATTTCGAAATTTCCTCTTTGTGTGGCATTCATTTAAAATGTCGAAAAATTTGGAATTTTTCAATCCATTAGTAGATGAACCATTTCACCCAGGGTATAATAAATTTGGTTTAAACTACCATTTCGACAAGCAGAACGCACACCCTTTGAAAGGCACATGTTCATAGTTCTATCAGCAAATGAACCACTACCTCGTCCGAAGTGTAATAAATTAAGAAGAAAATGTCAAAACAGAAAGTTTTCAAAATAGTTGCAAACTGCGTGTAATTGACTTCTTGTTTCAGCGCGCAGGTGTTAAAAACCCAATACCGGTACCATTACATATGAAGTAGCATGTGACAAAAAAACTAATAATTTGCTCAAGTGCTTTTGGTTACCGCGGTGAACCAATGAGTTTATTGAGCAATTAAACCCACACCATCGCGATAACCATTGCCACATAACGTATGAATGGTTTGCCACTTGTATGTATATACGGTGGTATCTTATCTTCATTTTAAAACGAGAAATTACGAATCCTTTCAACACTGTCTTTTGAGACTGCCAAAACAAAATACGTTTTTAAAATTGTCTGAAATTTCTTTCCTAATCTGGTATATCATTTTTGGCTTGTCTCGCACGTACATCGCGTCTGCTTGCCGAGAAAACCTGTTTGCGGTCTCATTCGATACAATTCTTATCATTAACAGGGTATAACTTACTGTTTCATTCTGATACAATTTATAAAGTTTCCGCGAAATTTCCCGAAGAAAATTTGTCAAAAACTGGCGGCAAGAACCATTTCACAATCACTTTTAACTGAGACGTCTTCATTTCATTGCGCAGAATTCTCGCTCTTATTCTCTTTTATCCCGACGCGATTTTTTTTCTCTCCTTTTGTTCGCGTAAACGTGCGTTTGTTTATTATAATAACTTCTCTCTTATTTTCTCGTTTCTCTCATTTTTTGCAAAATTGAATTTTGTTGGTGGAGACAAATCATCTGTTACAAAAGGGAGCATATGATTGGCTGAGAGATTCTACGCCTTGTTACGACGCCGGCATCGACCACGTTCCAATTTCAACGTTCGCAGAAAAGCGACCTTTGTACCAAACGAACTGGCATGAACTCAGAGAAGTTTATGCGCCAACCGAGAACAGTGGTTCGCAACCTTCTTTGCTACCTTTCTCCCTTTGACTATTTCGAAACCCGTGCTTCCTCCATCACAAGGCTTAATTGTTTCAGTTGTTATTCAATATATAATGGACCCTGAGGTAGTGATATGTGCACTCGCACGTTGGTTTTTAAATAGTTTGTAACCTGTGTATAAACATGTATTTCACTTGTATTACTACACCCAAATTCCAAGTAAAATTTCCTACTCCAAAACAGCATTTCCCTCGGCTCAGAAACGCTGCCATAGAATATTCAAAACTAGTTGGTTAACGAACGGCATCCTTTTTTTCCTCTCGCCAACTGTAACGTTCTTTGTGGCCTAGTTCGTGCGCGCTCGATTGCCGGCGGTTAAATCAATCTATCTTTGTCATTAATCTTAATCAAAGTCCGTCTCGGAAACAATGCCTGCGCTCAAAATCCACTATCTTTGTCTTAAGCCTTTGTAATACGTTTACAGCAGGGGTTTCCAAACCAGGGGTCGCGACCCCAAATTGGGTCGGAGTGAAAAGTAGGTAGGGTCGCAAACAGGTCAAGGGTCGGTGGGGTCGCTGAGCAATGGTAAAGTTTCATTAGAAGTGATTATCGGAGCCGCATAACAAACATTAACTTGGATAATTCTTTGGTATGTTACCTGACATCATACATCCCCAGATACAGGAAATTGATTAAATTAAAACAGTGACCATTCCTAATTAAAGAAAATTCCAAACTGTTTTTTTTTTGGAGTTTCGTTATTTTAAATTTTTAATTAAAATAAAAAGTTTAAATGTTTTAGCATATTTTACCTAACACCCACCCCCACATGATCAAACTCAAAAGTTCAGTAGAAAAAGCTCCAAAGTTTCGTGAAAAAAAATATATTGACCTGGGGTCGCACTGGACACTTGAAAGTCGTCTTTGGGGTCCTGGGAAAAGCTTGGAACCACTGGTTTACAGATTATACTCCCAAAGGACTTGCAAATAAATACACGAGGGCCTACTAGTGGAGTATTGGACTTAATCAATTTTCATAGAATGTAATACAGGGATCGGCAACCTACGGCCCGCTTCACTGAATTATAGTAACAAAACAGCTGTTTTGACGATCATATTTTTCACGTTACACAATTCATTGTGAGACGCGTATAGACTAAATTATATTTTAATCAAACAAGTATAAAATTCACAATTACTCGTTTAAGGAGCCTATAATTTAAGTATAATTGGACAAATAGCAACAAAACACAGAAAAGTTTATGCTAAGTGCAAATTGTTCAAAGGCGCAGAAAAATATTCAAAGGGAATTTTCTGGGATGTAATGCAACACGGAAATAAATCTATATTCTATTCGACAGATGTATCACTGCTTGATTTTTGTTATATTAGTATCATCCGTTCGGTTTTCGAATTTAAAAAATATTTGCGGCCCGCCGATGCCTTGCAACCCTTCTGTGGGCCTGCGAGCGACAAAAGGTTGCCGACCGCTTGGTAATACATTGGGCAGACTGGTAACATTCAAATTTTTCTGTGCATATAGGTCATTGTGTATAGCGATTGTATATCTATGTATAGAGGGTGTCGCTGCTCGATAACTAGCTTTGGTTCCCCGCGACTTCCTTCCCCAATAAAACTGTGTAAATTATCATTTTCTCTTAATCTATGTTTGTGATATTTTTTTACTGGTTGGAAAAATAAACATGACTTGAGTAGCAGTTGTTCCCAACCTGCTATGAGTCGTGGCCCACTCCGAAGGCTTTTAGCACTCATAGACCCATGTTTACCATTCCAGTGGTATTTATAGTGTTATTTTGATTGATATAATCCAAGTCACATCATATCTAAACAATTCATGAACAAGAAAGTGAAAACACCCTGTGAAATACCCGTATCAAGCAATGAAACTAGAAAGAGTCGTGAATCTTCTAGTTAGAGGGAATGTAAAATTAGTTTTGCGCCCAGCAGTGTGGC